TTGTCATCTGCAAATCTCAAGTCTTACATTTGACCAGCAACCTCGACTCTATGTGTTGTAAAATGCAACACCTAATATATACTTGTTTTTTTACAAATGAAGACACGCACAGCTGATGCATACAGGATCACAGGCCCGCTGGAATGGCGTGCTAGCAAGAGAGGCTGCGCAACACAAATGCGGGAATGCCTGTTCCCCACCCCACCAAGTAACTCTATGAATGGTCCTCCGCATAGTCATGAATTCGAGCACACAAACTGAGCCCTCCGCATTGGGCTGCGATTATTTTTCAAGAATCGTTTTAATATTTTGAACCAACTTTAAGTGCCGTAAAGACTAATAACACTGGCGTCATCTTAAGGATCAACTTTATGTAATACGTAGAGACCCCAGTTGTTACACGCAGTTAGTACAATACCGTCAGGCGGCTCAGCGATAGGGTGGGGGACTCACAATCGGAAGGTAGCGAGTTCAAATCCTCGTTGGAGGTTGACTCAGCCCAGCATCTCTGCGGGGTCAACAGTGGATGTCCTATGGATAAACTCGCCCCCACGAAGGGCAATGTGGAATGTCCACCACTGGCTCAGGCCTGCAACCAGGAGATAAACACCAATGGCTCAATCCTGATTTTGAGCAGAAACTCACCCTGTTATATTTACTTGAAGCAACCGGGCTTAGACACGCACCCTCTGGCACACCATATGAGAAGAAAATACATCTTGAAGTCATTAACTTGCCAATGAGTCTATTTTGGGCAATGTTTTGTATAATCAAATAAACGAACCAATAATCGACTGAATAATTGATAAATACAGTCAGTTTCAGGTAGCTCAATGGATGATTAGAGTTAAGCTGCATATGCGACTCCTATGTTACATTTCATGGGAATCAATCAAACCAAGATTTATAATGCAAAAAGCTGAGATAGAAGCACGGATGTCAGAGACAAAATGTAAACAACTGAAACTAAATAGACGAGAAAATACATGCACCGATTGTCACAGCTGACCAGACTTTAGTTGGCAAGTGGCTCACAAGAGGAACAGTGGTGAAGTTACTCACTGAAAGAGATGGGACACCCCAAGGGATTGAGGGGACCAACGGATGGGGAGTCCAAGCGAGTCCTATTAGTGGGGGGCACACCCAGGTCACTCATAGGAGCGGGGCCAACATGATTTATAGGTGGGGGGGGGGGAAAGGGTTCAGCCATTTCCAGAAGGGGACTGAGCCGTCTGTGGTAGACAGGGGGTCAAGAGACAGATGGGAAAGGAAGCCACCCCAAGTAACTGACGCACATCCCTCAGGGCCTCATTCACTGCCCGGGCACCAAACGCCAAGCACTCAACGTTACCACAACCCGACAGAACAGGGCTCTTATCCTGTCGGGTATGGCGGCCACCCGATCAAGAACACTGTTCCTCAATCAAGACCACCACGGTTACACTAAAGGTCACATTACACATTGGGACCACATTTCCACGTCCCTAGTCAAAGTGCTGTTAGTAAGGCATGCATTTCATGTTGTATATCAGCGAGTTGTGTAAGGCATGTGTGATACCGCACACACCGTGACACAGCGCACACACCGTGACACAGCGCACACACCGTGACACAGCGCACACACCGTGACACAGCGCACACACCGTGACACAGCGCACACACCGTGACACAGCGCACACACCGTGACACAGCGCACACACCGTGACACAGCGCACCCCCACGCACACCGTGATCCCGCGCGCCCCATGACCCCACGCACACCATGCCCCCCGTGATCCCACGCACACCATGCCCCCCGTGACCCCACGCACACCATGCCCCCCCGTGACCCCAAGCACACCGTGACCCCACGCACACCATGCCCCCCGTGACCCCACGCACACCATGCCCCCCGTGACCCCACACACACCATGCCCCCCGTGACTCTACGCACACCATGCCCCCCGTGACCCCAAGCACACCGTGACCCTACGCACACCATGACCCCCGTGACCCCACGCACACCATGACCCTACGCACCCCGTGAAACCGCAAACACTATGACCCCCACGCACGCCGTGACGCCACGCACGCCGTGACGTCGCGAACACCGTGAGACCGCACTCCCCATGACACCTTTAACCCCGTGACCCCACGCAACCCGTCACACCGTGCAAACCATGACGCGGTGATACCGAGCACACTGCGGACACCGTGAGACTGCGCACACCCCGACACTGCGCAAAACCGTGAACCCCATGACACCGTGCACACTGGTGACGACATCTCCCACATAACGCGACACCGCACACACCAGCGACACCACGGACCCGTGACACTTCACGCACTGTGACACCATACCCACCGTGACACCGCACACCGTCTCACCGTGCACACCGTCTCACCGTGTACACCATGCCGCCACCGCGCGCAAAGGTAACAACACGCACACCGTAACAACACGCACACCGTAACAACACGCACACCGTAACAACACGCACACGCGCGACACAGCGTACACCGCCAGCCACTACCACATCGCCGAGAGGCAGCTCCACTCGCCTGCAAACACAACCCCGACACTGCGCCGCCGCAGGCCGCCCCACAACAACAGCACTGTAGGGAACTGTACGGAGCGAAAACCACATTCCAAGAAAACGAAAACCAGCAGCGCGCGCGAGACCCAACCCCATCAACCCTCCCCCCCAGTGCCGGGGCCCGTACGCCCCTTTCTTCCTGGCCGGGTCTAGGTTCACTCTACACCACCTTCTGCTGTTCCCTGCGGTGCGTTCCCTCCCGTCCCTGGCTGTCCCCCCGCCTCTTGCTGGCTTCGTCCCCTCTGCTCCGCGAGCCCTGCCCCCTGGGCCTGCCCCCTGGGCCTGCCCCCTGGGCCTGCCCCCTGGGCCTGCCCCCTGGGCCTGCCCCCAGGGCCTGCCCCCTGGGCCTGCCCCCTGGGCCTGTCCCCAGGGTCTGCCCCCTGGGCCTGTCCCCTGGGCCTGTCCCGCGAGGCCCGCGCCCACTACTCCGTGCCCTCTGCGTGGTTCTTCATTCACTGGCGTGACCCTGCGCCCAGTCGCTCGCTGCCCGCCCCTGTGCAGAGGCTCTGCCCCTTCTTCCGTCTCCCCCTGCCCTGCCCCTTATGCACAGTGCCCCCTCTTCTATTCTATGTTCCATCTGCTCTGATGTGCACTTGCGATTAGCACGGTCAGCTACATCAGGAGCGAAACAAGTTAAACATACATCCTGTTGACGTGCTGGAAGCTGTGTACTGTCCCCTGTGCTGTGAGTACAGTGCTGTCCCCTCTGCGGTGAGTACAGTACTATCCCGTACTGTGTACTGTCCCGTGCTGTGAGTACAGTACTGTCCCCTTTGCTGTGCATACTGTCCCGTGCTGAATACAGTACTGTCCCCTCTGAGGTGAGTACAGTACTATCCTGTGCTGTGTACCGTCCCTTGCTGTGAGTACAGTACTGTCTCCTGTGCGGTGAGTACAGTACTATCCCCTGTGCTGTATACCATCTCCCGTTATGTGTACAGTATTGCCCCCTGTGCTGTGTGTACCGTCCATTGTGCTGCGTACAGTACTGTCCCCTGCGCTGTTAGTACAGTACTGTTGCCTGTGCTGTGTGCCGTTCCCTGTGCTGTGAGTGGTGTCCCCTATTCTTTGTACAGTACTGTCCCTTGTGCTGAGATGTCCCCTGTGCTGAGTGTACAGTACCATCCCCTGTGCTGAGTGTACAGTACCATCCCCTGTGCTGTGTGTACAGTACCATCCCCTGTGCTGTGTGTACAGTACCATCCCCTGTGCTGTGTGTACAGTACCGTCCCCTGTGCTGTGTGTACAGTACCACCCCCTGTGCTGAGTGTACAGTACCATCCCCTGTGCTGAGTGATGTTCCCTGTGCTGTGTGTACAGTACCATCCCCTGTGCTGTGTGTACAGTACCGTCCCCTGTGCTGAGTGATGTCCCCTGTGCTGTGTGTACAGTACCATCCCGTGCTGTGTGTACAGTACCGTCCCCTGTCCTGTGTGTACAGTACCGTCCCCTGTGCTGTGTGTACAGTACCATCCCCTGTGCTGAGTGTACAGTACCATCCCCTGTGCTGAGTGATGTCCCCTGTGCTGTGTGTACAGTACCATCCCGTGCTGTGTGTACAGTACCATCCCCTGTGCTGTGTGTACAGTACCATCCCCTGTGCTGTGTGTACAGTACCGTCCCCTGTGCTGTGTGTACAGTACCGTCCCCTGTGCTGTGTGTACAGTACCGTCCCCTGTGCTGTGTGTACAGTATCGTCCCCTGTGCTGAGTGTACAGTACCATCCCCTGTGCTGAGTGATGTCCCGTGCTGTGTGTACAGTACCGCCCCCTGTGCTGTGTGTACAGTACCGTCCCCTGTGCTGTGTGTACAGTACCATCCCCTGTGCTGTGTACAGTACCATCCCCTGTGCTGTGTGTACAGCACCGTCCTATGTGCTGTGTGCAGTACCGTCCTGTGTGTACAGTACCGTCCTCTGTGCTGTGTGTACATCACCGTCCCCTGTGCTGTGTGTACAGTACCATCCCCTGTGCTGAGTGATGTCCCCTGTGCTGAGTGATGTCCCCTGTGCTGTGTGTACAGTACCATCCCCTGTGCTGTGTGTACAATACCATCCCCTGTGCTGTGTACAGTACCACCCCCTGTGCTGTGTGTACAGTACCATCCCCTGTGCTGTGTGTACAGTACCACCCCCTGTGCTGTGTGTACAGTACCGCCCCCTGTGCTGAATGTACAGTACCATCCCCTGTGCTGAGTGTACAGTACCATCCCCTGTGCTGTGTGTACAGTACCATCCCCTGTGCTGAGTGTACAGTACCATCCCCTGTGCTGTGTGTACAGTACCATCCCCTGTGCTGTGTGTACAGTACCGTCCCCTGTTCTGTGTACAGTACCGTCCCCTGTGCTGATGTCCCCTGTTCTGTGTACAGTACTGTCCCCTGTTCTCTGTGTACAGTACCGTCCCCTGTGCTGTGTGTACAGTACCGTCCCCTGTGCTGCGAGTGCCGTCCCTGACCCGGCCCCGCTTCAACTCGGGATTTCTGACTGGAACACAAAGTGCAGGCCGCCCTTTATCCGCGAGCAACCAGGGGGAGACACGAGGAGACGTGGGGGGGAGACCCAAGGAGACAGGAGACTGTGAGACCCACTGAAGACACAGCGACACGGGGAGACGACGAGACGCCTGGAGACACAAGAGGCAGACACGGGGAGACAGAGAGCGACACGGGGGACACAGGGAGACTATAAGAGACACCGGAAGACTTACGAGAGACACCGGGAGACTATATGAGACACGGGGCCGGGCTCAAAATGGCGGCGATGGCGGCGCGGGCCGAGGGTCTCGGCCACCTCCGCGTTTCCCCTCGCCCCGCTTCCCCCCGCGCGATTTCAGCACAAAGGACGAGGGCTTCGCCTACCTGGAGCCCGGGCGCCGCGGCCGCGAAGCCGCTGCAGCTCGGATGGCGACGCCTTGACGCCCAAACGCAACGGATGCGATGCGACTCTCTCCCGGGCACAGCGCGACCCTGGCGGCGAGCGACTAGAATCCATACAGCGGATAGGCGCCTCCACAATACACACGGCGGATAGGCGCCTAGAATACATACAGCGGATAAGCGCCTCTAAAATCCATACAGCAGATAGGCGCCTTCACAATACATACAGCGGATAGGCATCTTCACAAGTACAGCGGGAAAGGCGACTAGAATCCATACAGAAGATAGGCTGTTCCACAATACACAAGGTTGATAGGCGTCTAGAATACATACTGCGGATAGGCGCCTCCACATAATACGTACACATTCCACATGAGCCCTTTCGTTGAGCTATTATTTGTGGCCAGGTGGCTTTTGAAATATAAGCTAATAGCTTAGTCGGCTTTAATTGGAAAAATATAATTTATTTCCATTTGTATTTTAGTGAATTGTTTACAGTTGCTATTATTTGCACTCCTACCGTGTTTTTGCATTGTCGTTTTGACGTTCTGACCCGCCCCTGTGAAAGAGCTGTATAGCTCATCGGATTCCTCCAGTACAGTATATTGCTTCTGATTCAGCGTACAGGATACTAGAATCCATACCGCAGATAGGCGCCTCCACAACACGGGATAGGCTACTAGAATCTAAAGAGCGGATAGGCGGGTCCACAATGCATAGAGCGGATAGCCGCCTAGAATCCATACAGCGGATAGGCGCCTCCAGCAGAATTTCCTGCAGTTAATTTCCATTTCCCCTATAATAGCTTTAGCCAATCTGAGATGGTTCATGTATTCACCATTAATATTCACGCATTTATTCTCTCCAATCCAATCTTTTCATGTCGCCGTGATGGCGAAAGCGTGTCCCCTTGCTCGACTCCCATTGCCATGTGTAAAATGGTCCTGCATATGCAGTCTGATGAGCACGGCTCTTACATTTATGTACATACATTTAATTAATTAAGTGTATATTTTTGTGGACAGGCGCCTCCACAATAACAGGAATCTCATGATTCCAGACACAGCTTAAAGACCCAGATGGGTTGAACTATTTCAATTAATGAAACGTTAGTAATATATCATGTAAACGCAAGGCGACTCTAAACCAAGAGCGTTGGCTTCGAGCTGTACATCTATTTGCTGTTGGCTTCTGAACTCGCAGAGCCACGACCGCGCCTCAGCCCTTCCCACGTGTCGACTCTCGTCACGTGACGCGGCACCCCATCAGCTGTCGAGCGCTCCCAGCACGCGCGCCTCACGTGACCGCCCCCCCCCCCTCTCTCACCCCCACGTGACCACCCCCCCCTCTCTCTTTCACCCACGACTCGTGGGTGTAAGAGAGGGGGGGCGGCACGCGCGCCTCACGTGACCGCCCCCCCTCTCTCACCCCCACGTGACTACCCCCCAAAGCAAAGATCCCCCGTGTAGTCTTAACAGACTGTAGGGGCAAGTGCTGTTAGCAGCAGCACCTATGAAGGCCAGTAACCACGCCCGGCCGCCTTTGTCTCCCCAGTGGCGAAGTTTACGCACCAGGTACACATTTGAGGCTGAGTCGACCTAGGGCAGGCCCGGGACCGGTTCAGATAATGGTCACTGGTGATGGCCGTGAGCGGAAATGGAAACATCCCCTTCACACAACAACAGCGGATAGGCGCCCCCACAACACACAATACGGCAAGAGAGTCGATTAGAATCTACACATGGGAAAGGCGTCTTCACAATCCGTACAGCGGATAGGCGGGGGGTATTAGAATTTGTAGAGTGGACCGGTCCCCTACCGCTGAGCCCGAGCACGGGGACGCCGTATGGGGGAGTCGATCCAAGATAGAATCGAAATCCGATTAATAAGGTCCATATTGGAATCGATTAGTTTTTGTTTAGTCAACTGCACCATCCCACGATCTCTTAAGAAATGTAATCGAAACGACACGCAGACAAAATTTACTTTCCAACGTACTAATTTATTGAATTAACGGTCAAAATAAATGCCCCTTGTAGTCATGTGAGGTGCATTGAGTGCCCTTGTTAGGAAACGCCACGAATCTACAATGCACTTGTGGCACGTGGTGTCAGTGAGTGAGTCCCAATAGCTTCAGGTGCACGTAAGGAGGGAGGTTACCACCATCATCATCATCACACGAGGCCTCGGTTTGTAACCGAGCAGAAACCTGGAAATTAAAAAATATAACCTTCCATGAGATTAAAAAAGTGCTAAAATGTTTGAAGCAAACATTCAACTGTGTGGGGGTAGAATGCGACACGTGGTGTCGGTTTTAGTCGGAAAAAAAACACTTCCTCCAATCAAATGAAACTTTACTTAATACAATTTGTGCACAGAATGCAATATAACGTGCTTCACAGGACTACATGAAGGGATTGACTCATCAGGATGCTATTAAGCTGCATCCCCAGGCCAAGACATCTGATCAGAGCTCAATGCTTAACCCATGCAGGTTACCCACTCAGAAACGGGCTGAGGTCAAAGTGTACGGAAGCTGAGGGTTTGAGCTGGCGTCCCAGATTAAGAGAAACCCACCGGCAAGAAGCCTCCACGTCCATTGTTGTGCGCCCGTTGACATCTGAAGTCACTGATTTTCTTCATTACACGCTTTCGTTTAACTCACTCTGTCTGTTGTTGTCGTTGTTGTCATTGTTGTATCCTCAAATCTTGTAACTCAATTTGAAACCCACTTCTCAATGCGGTATCGACTGCAAACTTGGTATACTTATGTCAGACTGATGACAATACTCTATTCTATCATAAAAAAACATTATTTTTTATGTTATGTTTCGGCTTGGGTCTAATTGTCCACGCTCAACTGACGTTGGCTGTAATTGACCACGGGCCCCTTACGTTGTGGCGAGCTTCGGGGTCACTTCCTGGAGTTGCGGAGTTCTGCCATTACTAGTGTAGTGGAGTATGAAGGTGCATTGTGGGAACTGCGCGATCGCATGATCACACGGACAGTGTGGGTTATCTGGGATCAGCCTGTGGAGAAGGCGAAAACAGTGTCGGTCGTGTTAGGACAGCCACGTGCAAGGGCCGGGATGGTGAGGTAACGGTCGGGCCAATTAAGCCAGAGGATCAGCAACGGCTGTGATTGGTTGGTGCTGTAGCCGGGGCTGGAGAGGCGTCGAGAAGTCTGGCGAGAAACTGGTGCCGTGGTCACGCGGAGCGCCGGTTGAGACGCGGGTTAATTAATTGGGGGGTGTAATGAGAGCGGGTATAAGAGCGGGAGTCGGAGTCAACAGAAGGGAGGTTGTTGAATGGTGAAGAGCTTGGAGATGGGTTGAAGTTGAAGAGCTTAGGGGAGCTGGAGTGAGGAGTTGGAGTTGGGAGCTGGACGAGGAAGACGTGGAGTTTGGAAACAGAGTAGAAACAGAGTTTGGAAACAGAGTTTGGAAACAGAGTTTGGAGACAGAGTGGGAAACGGAGTTGGAACAGAGTGTGAAGCAAGACGAAGTAGTTAGCAGTGGAGAGAGCGTAGCGATAGCGGAGCTGAAGACGCTGTGTGCGGAGTTGCTGAGCGGGGAGTCGCTGAGTGCGAATCAAGTGAAGTGATAGTGGGGAGACAAAGGTGGTGAGCGAGACGAGCGGAGCACGGCGAGCGAGCCGTGGTGACCAGGATACTGTGGAGTGTGGAGGATTTGTGGAATGTTGTAAATAAAGCGGTGTTCGAGGAAAGACAGAAGTTGTCCGCGTAAAGTCGAACACTACACTAGTACGGTACATTTCATAAAAGCGTGTTTTAAAAAAAGTTGTTTCAAATAATACTTATTAAATGTTTAAACCATTAACGTGCAGCCAACGAACTGGGCATAGGCTCGACAGTTTGGAAGTGCTATATATTTTGGCGAGCCCGGCAGGCATGTTAAAGTGCGACTAAAGAAAGCGTAGCTGCTCACCTAAGCATTGGTACGCAATAACGGTCCAAGAGACGCTTCCAGAAGAAAAAAAACCTCCCAGAGTGAGCAGAGAGATGGACCACTTACACAAGGTCAGCCTTAGGTTGTCGACGCTGGAGATGGCTCATCTCATTCAAGTCTGCAGACGTTTGAAGTGCGCAGAAGAAGGGGATGAGGGCTTTCATGGGAAAGGTCGGCGAGCTCGGATAAGTTCATCTGAGCAGGTGTAGGAGGAAATTGAGGAGTGCCAGAAGAAAGAGGACATCTGTGTGAATCTCACTCGCCCAGCTGAAGCAGCTCAAGGACCTCCAGGGGACAAAAGAGGAAGCTCGCCAAAGTGTTTGAGGCAGAGATGAAAGCCCTCGAAGACAAAGTAAAACCAGGAGTTGGCAAGGTTGTCAGGGAAGTGGAACCAACCACAACAACAATACCACCAGCCAGACTAAATGAAGTGACACTGCGAAAAGAGTTCCGGATCTCTGGGCAGACTGGGGAAGGGGGACAGAAGGACGAACTGTCCTATACTACTTTGGTCCACCAGATGGACATGCTAGAGACCAAGAAAGGGCCCAACCTTCCCACACTGAGAGTAATCGTCGAAGGCCACTGAAAGGAAGATAATTCCTTCGATTTATATTACAGACTAGTGAGCATATCACAGGAACCGAAGGAGTCAGCTCAGAACTTCCTATTCCAGGCAATTGTGCTGAAAAAAAATGACGATGGAAGCTGACTGAGGAGGACATGGAGGGGCAATACGACACGGAACTAATCCTACGTAAGTTCCTGCACTCCATGGGAACCGGACTCTTAGGCGGCTCCATCAAATTTAATCTCAAGTCAAATCTTGACGATAACACGGTCACCAATGAGACGCCAATTTAAAAGATAAACGAGGAGGCGAACCTTGAAACGGAAAGACGGCAAAGGTGAGAAAGACTACTAATGGGAATGGCCCACAGATGAGCACACTGCACATGGAACCGACAACAGGAGATCAGCAATGCTGTGGAAGCATATGAGAACCAAAAGGAGACCACCCCGACAAAGTAAGCTGGGGTTGGGACCTCTGGGAATTCCCACAAGGTGCCCCCATATCAGAAAGAACCAGATACGAATATACCAAAGTGTGTTGTATATGCCCCCCTTTCCATCTTAATATTATCAAGTA